GGCTCCCTTCCCCTCCTCTTCCCACCCAGCCAAGCACAGGTCCTGCCTGAACCTCTGGTCCTAACCAGCCACATGTAGACTCAGGTATCTCAGGATGTCAGTGACCAGCTTCCAGCAAGTGAAGCTCAGAAGGGGCAGCAGTGTGCCCAAGGTCACGTAGCAGGACACGGCAGAGTTGACCTGGAGCCCAGGTCTCTGCACCTCCATCCCAGCCTTGGAACTGTGCAAACTTGAGACTGGCCCATGCAACCTCTTCAGCTGAGCCCCTGGGCCCCTCCTGCAGGCCTAAGCTGGCCTGGGAATCTCCACGGGCTTGAACGTGCCCCAAAGCCAGGTGTACCTGTGCCTGCGTCATCACTTCTCCCCAGGGAGCCCCACCGCCAGGGCTACGGCTGGGGGCAAGCCCAGCCCCACGCCACCCCCAGACCAGGTCAGTGGGGTGAAGTGATAGATTGCTCTGGGAGCACCCCGAGGAGGTGGGCATCCCTGGGGCCCTCCCAGAGGCTGCTGGGACAGTGCAGAGAGGAAGCGTGGGCTTGGGCACTCTGGCTCACCAGGAAGGCGCTGTGTGACCTCGGGCAACGCGTCTCAACACCTTGAACTTCCCTTTTCTCTCGTAAAAGTGCCTGGTCTCCAACAGTCCTGAGACTCCAATGAGGTAATGTCACGCTCCAGCGCTCTGCCCTGGGCGGGGCACGCGGGAGGTGCTCACGGAAGAGTAAGTCCCTCTCCTTCCCCAACCCCAGCGGCGGGGCCATCTCAGCAGGGCCTTTTCCCTGCTTAGGGGATCCTGGTGGCTGACGGGGGTGGGAGGGGGAGGAGGGGTGATGTGAAACTCTGTGCCCCCCAAATCCCACCTGGGCCAGGTCCTGGGGCAGCCTCCTCAGGGGATGCTCTGGGGCCAGATGCAGAGCCAGGTGTACAGCCCCACAAAAGGCAGACCCCCACAGACCCCAAGTACAGAAGATCTTTCTGACATCCTGAGCTGGCCCCATAAGGACAACTTGAGGAGAAGAGCCGCTCCTCCTGGTCCCTGTGCCGGAGAGAGCCCTGAACAGGGGTCAGGGAGCCAGTGTCAGGTCCGAGTTTGCTGCTGGTGTGCTGTGTGACCCTGGGCAAGTCCCTGCCCTTCTTCGTCCTCACTGTTTCCTTCTGTAAAAGGCAAGAGCTGGACCAACTCACCCTTGGGGTCCCTTCTGGCTCTAACGGTTGGAGATTTCCAGCCTCCACTCAGCCTTGACTTTCAGAGGAGTTGAGGCTGGGCCAGGGCTGCGGCTCAGCGGGTGTTTCCCTTGGCTTGTGTAGACGCTGTGCCCCAGGCTCCGTGGGCCAGACCAATGAACCAGGCTCGTAAACACCTGGTGGGGCAGCAGGTCTCCTCCAAACAAAAGGCATTTTCCAAACAGGGTTGAGAAAGGCCAGCTCCAGGCAGCCCTGAGACGGGCCATCCCAGGGGCACTGGGGCAGAGGGTGCCCGGCTGCCGGAGCCTCCCCGAGCCAAGGGTGTGGGGAACCAGCTCCCTTAGTCTTCTGCCTCTCCCCCATGCCTCCCTCCTTCTCTCCTTCCCTCTGGAGATACACCTGGGCTCTAGTCCTGCCTTGCAGTGTGCCCTCGGTCCTGTCACTTCTCCGGGCCTCAGTTTCCCCATCTGCCAAACAGGGAGGCCAATCCCTGGCTGGCCTTGCTCCTGGATCATGATGTGACCCAAGGGAGACAGTGAGTGACAGTACTCTGCCGGCCGTGAGCATGTGTGCAGGTCAGGAGTGACCTCAGTCCCCGAGGTGACCCCCAGCCCCAGCTTGCCTACCTTACCCCCTGCCCAGCCCTCTCATCTCAGCCCTGGTCCCCCACCCGGCCCAGAACCACACGCCCAGGGGAGCCCTTGAAGGAGCTCAGGAAATTTCACCCCAAAATATGACTCCTTGGTATAAAGAATATTTTTGAATTAAAGGCCATTTGAACTCAAAAAACATCGGAAGGGGCTTGCCCTCTGTCTGCACAAACAGGACTGACTGACCTGATCAGAAGGTCAAAGGGGACAGCTGGCTCCCCTCCCTCTTGGTACTTCTGGTACGAATATTGGGATTTGTTGGTACTTTCGTGGAATGAATATTCATATTGTTTGATTCCCTCGCCTCCCACAAATAGCCATCTTTATTGTTCTTTCTCTTGCCGATTTTCTGTGCTGCTTTTGTCATAAAAAGGGCCGCCATAGGGCAGAACTCGGGTCTGGCGCCCCACAGACGGGACGTTCACGTGGCCCCTGCAGACCGGCCACTCACACGGTGCTGCCTAGACCAGCGACAGTTAAGACAAAGGTCACTGCAGGTCCCCTTTCATCCTGTTGCCCGGCCCTGAGCTCATCTTGCGACCGAGTGGGAGTTGTCTCCCCCACGGCCACACGGGGGGCGGGGGGGGCACGTTTTCTCGGGGACACGTCGGGCGGCCAATCTGAAAAGACTAGGGGTCGGCCGCGACACAAGATTCTAAACAGCTCACTGTTCGCACCGACCGTGTCAAGCTCTGGGGAAGCGAGTCTTTGTTTTAAAAGGACTTTGTCTATCGTAAGTCTTTTTTTTTTTTGAGAGTGAATTTTTGGGAATCTTGGAAACTGCCTTCTCCGAGCCCTCCCCAGGCTAAACCTGGGAAGGCGCCCGCTGGGCTTTCTGAGAAGAGGCGTTTGGGTTGAGTGGCTTTTGGAATAAATGTACCTTTGAGACTAAATGGCCAAAAGATGGATCCTTTAAATGAAAAGACTTATACATTTTTTTGAAAATGAATTTTAGAGCTCTCTTATTGGAAACAGTTGCCTTATTTGTATTAATAGAAAAACAGTTAGATTTTAGAAAGACACGTCATGCTGTGGCTAGCCTTAAAATTTCTCTTGATGAAATTGAAGAGCAAATATCTGACCTAAAACAAGGATTAAAAATTCCTTTGAACACTGCCCGTGTGTGTGGGAAGGATGGCTTAGGCCAATTTGCCTCTTAGCCTGATGGTGCTTTTTTTTTTGATACAGAGTCTCCCTTTGTTGCCCATGGCGTCAGCCTAGCTCACAGCAACCTCAAACTCCTGGGCTCAAGTGATCCTCCTGCCTCAGCCTCCCGAGTAGCTGGGACTACAGGCACGCGCCACCATGCCCGGCTAATTTTTTCTCTATATATTATTTGGCCAATTAATTTCTTTCTATTTATAGTAGAGACAGGGTCTTGCTCTTGCTCAGGCTGGTTTCGAGCTCCTGACCTCGAGCAATCCTCCCGGCTCGGCTTCCCAGAGTGCTAGGATTTCAGGCGTGGGCCACCGCGCCCGGCCAATCCTGATGGTTTAAGTTCTGTGCTTTCCCCTCAACAGCCTGGGTTTGATTCCCGGGCAGGGAATGAGCCTGTTCTGCTTTGATGTTTGTGCAACTTCTGCGGTTCGTTGCTTCTCTTCCCTTCTGTGCACAGCTTTGGCTCTCGTGTGTTCTGTAGAGACACACGGGGCCTTTAGGTATTTATGTGTGAACAGTCAGCTGGGAAGCCGGGACCCTAGGAAATACGACTGGACAAAATTGTGGGTTACATCTTGTCTATGACTAGGGACACTTTTCTTTCTTTGAATGGCTTTTGTGGCTTTTCTAGATCTTGTGGAAACCGTTCTCCACCTCTTTAAAGACACCTCTTGCTTCTTTAAGTCGTAACCTTGGTTTTCTCTGTTGGCTTATTGGTTTCACTTAAAAGGATATTTTAGTTTAAAAGTTCAAAAGCAAAGTGTCAGCTGTCTGTCCAGGCTAAGTCTGCTCCTTTCTACTCCTTCCTCTTTGCCAATCGTGGAGTTTCGGCCAATCAAAGGCAGCCAGCTGTTCAAACTGTGTTTAAGTAAGACAAACGCTGAGCCGTAACCAATCCAGCTGTTTCTATAAGTCACTTCCAGTATCTATATGTCGCTTTCTCTTTTCTGTCCATGAATCTTCTTCAATCACGCTATAGCATTAGAGTTTCTCTGAACCTGTTCTAGTTCAGCTGCCCGATTTGTGAATTACTCTTTGCTCAATTAAACTCTGTTAAATTTAATTTTTATTAAAAGTGGGTTCCAAGATACAGCTCCCAGGGATCCCAGGAGCACCGAGAGTCCCAGCGAGGTCCCCGCGGGACCTGCTGTCCTTTGCTCTCTCATTGCAACGCAGGCTTGGGTTTAAGTTCTCTCTCAAGGTTCCCAAGTGCCACAGATGTGTGTTTTGAGCTTTCTGAGTTTGTTTGAGCAAATTTTTTATCCTAACTGGGTTCAGAAATCATGACACAAACTAAACTAGGTCTGGGATCATTGGATCTGATAATTAATTAGCTTAGATCTGTTTAGAGGCCTCGAATGTCTGGCTGGCTAGGCAGAAATGAACAGTAAACGGCAATACTACAGGGGGTGCGGATTCCAGCTTTCAGGAATTCGCAGAGATTCCTGAGTTCTATCCCTTTGTTCCTTCTTCTTGTGCCTCTGGGTAAGGAAAAATCAGTGCCTACGTTGAACATGGAGCTCTGAGAACCAAAGCCAAGATTGAAGGTGAAAATAGGATCCTTAATTTCTAAAAAACTGAGTGCTCTGCTTTCTAGCTATGCCTACCTATACATGTATAAGAATGAAGCCCTGAAAGTGGCAAATGCTTACCGAAATGACAAAATATTACTCAAGGCAAAATTGTTGCCTAGCTAGTAATTGCTTAAAACAATAAAATAGAATAAAATTAAATGATTGATAGTCTGAATAAAAATTAATAATACTTAAGAGCCAACAAATTCTTAAAAGAGCTATAAGATCAGCTTCTGTCTATATGTCTATGTGTCTATATATGTCATTTGTATGTGATATTTCACTACCAGAATATATAAAAGAGCTCTAATTAACTAGCTTAAAAATAAGCACTTAAATAAAACATTTTATCAAGAAGATGGAAAATAACTCAAATGCTTTTAGTTCATGTGACTTTAAGAATACAGTAGTTGACCTCTGCTCAACTTTCTTTTAGGTTCCGTTGCACTCTGAGTCACAATTTCTCTTTCCATCCACCTTCAGAGGGAGATAGTTAACGTGGACCTGAATACCGCAGAGATGCTGTGAGTCTCCTTCAATAGTCTCTCAAATTCTCCAAGCTGATTTAGACTCTATAAGCTTTACCCACAGATCCACCCTTGTTCAGAACTTGTTTAGTATGCTGATGATCTTTTGCTTTATAAACAGGGTGCCTTCTTAGACTCACTCCTTTAAAGATTCTAGCTGAATGAGGCTGTAAAGCTTCTAAATCTGGATTCCAGGGGTACAGACAACTGTTACTTAGGACATGAAATATCTCAGGGCCCTCAAGCTCACCCCAAAATGTCTTGAGTCAATTTTGCCATAGCCCTCACTAGAGCTTGCCCATTGGCAAAACAAAAGCTGTCATTATGTACACAGACTCCCAATGTGCCTTTGGAGTCTGCTGTGCAGTTGGCACAATCTAGAAGTCTCATTTCTTAATTTTTACTGACACTCCTATTGCCAATAGACCTGTAATATCAGACAGGTTATATATTGGGCCAAACAGATTCACTGTTGAAAGGTGGCCTTACTAATAAGCTATCTAACAGAGGAAAATAAACCATCAAACAGAAAGTTAGAGAAATAAACTCACAACACAAAATTGCCCCTTTGAAAAGAAAACTCACAGTACAACTGTGAGTTTATTTTAATTAAACACCTGGAAATTAACCCGTTCTCTCTAAGAGTTTATTTCACAGCCTTGAAGAGCCCCAAGTGGACAGTAGGGGTGCGATCTCTCTGCCTCAGTTTCTGCCAAAATCCGTCCCAAGGACAAACCCATCTCCAGGAGAGGAGAAAGGGGAAGCCAACTCCCTGACATAGCACAGCTACCCCCTGTTTTCAGTCTGAAGCAGGACCCCCCCCCCGTCCCCCCCATTTTTACCCTTTAAAAGCACCAAGCTGCTTTTCTTCAACTGTCTGGCACTTCCTTCTTTCCTCTGTGTGCTATGGCTGCTCCCTCCTTCTCTCTCTCCCTCTCAGGAAAATAAACTTTTACTTCTGTGTATCCTAATCTTTGTGTGACAACTCTTTCTCTACCCGCATATGAATTTCACACCCTTTCACCTGTGGCCCCTTTTCTTTTTAACCTTTTGACTTGTGCTTCTCTCCCATCCCCGGGGGACATATGTGCAAATGGGGGTAATTAAAAACAAACATGTAATTGACACTGCCCTAGGATCCACAGTATCTCTGACCGAATTATTTCCCAGTGCACTATTTGTAAACCTTAACAAATCTGTGGAGGAAACTGGCCCCCAGAGGTCCAGACTGTCCCTGTCGGCACTCCAGATTGATGTGGCAGGTGTACCTCCAGCTTTAGGCTTTTCTGGCTGTTTGTTTACGTGATTCGTGGATAGACTGAACGCCGTCCAAGCAGGAGAGCTGAGGCTACCCCAGTGTTCTGTCGCCCCAGGCAGGCTGACACCTACGAACCTTCTATTCCTGGACTGCCTGAACGCTGCGGGGATCGAAGTGAGCAATTCGATACCATGACTCGCTACCCACAGGTGCTGACTATGCTCGGAGCATGTCCCCGACTGGGGAAAGGGGTGCAGCCCCCGCCAGCCGACAGGCCTGTCGTCAAAGCTGGCACCTCGCTGGGAAGGCCCTGATAAAATGCTGTGAACTGCCTGTGCTGCTGTAAACATGAAAGAACAAGCCCACTGGGTTCCCGTCAGCCACAACAAACTACACTGAGACGATCAGAGGACGACCCTTACAGGTGACCTGAAAGGAAGGATTTCCAGGGCCAGTTCCCAGGCCCCTAAAGTAGATATCATCACAAAGTAGACAGCTTTTTTCCCAAGATCGTGCATCAAGACACCCCATTTTTCATCTATAAATTCCTCTTTGTCTTTTAAGCACCCCCCAAATGATCCTTTTTAAAACCTTTCTTCTTGGCTGGGCGCGGTGGCTCACGCCTGTAATCCTAGCACTCTGGGAGGCCGAGGCGGGTGGATCGCTCAAGGTCAGGAGTTCAAAACCAGCCTGAGCAAGAGCGAGACCCCGTCTCTACTAAAAATAGAAAGAAATTAATTGGACAACTAAAAATATATATACAAAAAAAAATTAGCCGGGCATGGTGGCACATGCCTGTAGTCCCAGCTACTCGGGAGGCTGAGGCAGGAGGATCACCTGAGCCCAGGAGTTTGAGGTTGCTGTGAGCTAGGCTGATGCCACGGCACTCACTCTAGCCTGGGCAACAAAGCGAGACTCTGTCTCAAAAAAACCCAAAAAACAAAAAACAAATAAAACCTTTCTTCTTTTAAGCCTCCCAATTTGAGGATTGCACGTTGGAAGCCGAATGGAGATCGCCTCAACCCATCCCATTCTCGCTTTAATCTTCCACGATGACTCTTTCCACCTCTGCCTTGTGCTTACTAACAACCCTCGCTGTTTTTCCAGCAGGTCAGGCACAGACCCGGCACCCCCTTTGCACCTGTCTTTCAAAGCCTGGCCTCCCTGACTAATCGATCTAATTGCCGGTTATGCCAACACCTGGATCATGCAAAGGGACCTGGACTCGTTCTTGTTTCTGCCAGTGTGAGCGCCTGGTGGAACCAGTCTGGAGGACGGATGTATGACAAGTGACATCCACAACCAGAGAAGAAACATCACGCTGCTTCTCCCGTTGGTGAGTCAACTGGACACAGAAGAACCTCTGGAAGCTCAAGAACTATCTTTTGCTCAGCTAAAGTCACGAGAAAGGAATTTTTCCCTCTGCATTAAAGACAGGGATGATGCTGGACCTTTTCAGGGTGACACACCAGGGCAATATTGTGACCAGACTCTACGGTTCTATTCTACAGATGGCATTCTTGCACCTCTTAGATGGTGCTGACCTGAACCCTCACGACATCAGCAATCGCCAAATCACCAGATGTTGGGGGTAGTTCACTCACTCCTTTTGTTAAGTTGTCAGACACTAAAGATTACAAATGCTTAGACCGAAAGTCTGGACTGACTTGGTTAGGTGACAAAACCAAGCCCTGTAACTGCCAGAACTAGACCAAAGGCCTTTAATATCACATATTTCATAACCTGTCCAGTTCCCGTAGACTGGCAGGGACACTTGGGACACTGGAGGTGTGGAAGTGCCAGTGAGGAAGAAGAGACGCAGCACACTCCAGACCGGGAGTCACAGGTTCCAACCCGACCCTATTTGTAAATTACACTGGTCCTTTTATTGTGAGTAGCAATGAAATATGCAAGTGGTTCCCACCTAGATGGTCCCGATGCTATGGACTTAGTTATCTGACACCCTCTGTTACTAGGTACTCTACTTTAAATGCCAGCCAAACTACAAACTTGGGCTCTTTTGTTCATAAAGTGGTACCAAGCAAAAGCACTAGATGTTGAGGACTGAGCTCCGGTCTTTTTCTTTTGCTCAAAATTCATTCCTAAGGGGGCCAGATGAGTGAGGCTCACAAATGGTAAATTCCAAGTGTGGTTTACTTCCCAACCTGATTCCGGTGTAGAGTTAGCATCACCTAAAAGATAGAAAGCTCCCATCTTAACTCAAGCATCCTAGCAGATCCTTATCTTAACTTGAAAGATTCTCCTGTCTGGACCTCCCAGAGTGCTCACACCTTTATCTTAAATTAAGCATTTCCTTTCTGGTCGTTTAGATAAAGCCTAACTCTCTCAGCCAATTGTCAGCCAAAGAATCTTTAAACCCACCTATAACCTGTAAGCACCGCCCCCCTTTGATATGGCCTACCTTTTCAGGTCAAACCAATGTATGCCTCCCATATATTGATTTATGACTTTACCTGTAACCCCCGTCTCTCTGAAATGTATAAAACCAAACTGTAACCCAGCCACAGCGAGTCCACTTGCTCAAGGCTTCTTGGGAGTGGCTCTGGGGAATGGTCCTCAAATCTGGCTCAGAATAAACTCTTTCAAATATTTCAGAGTTTGGATTTTTCCATCCACAATGTGGTATTATAAAAGAACCCACTTGTATGTCACAATTCTAAGGTTTATTTTTATTTTTATTTGAAGGGGTGGGGGGTTGTGAGGAGGGGTATTTAGTTGCATTGTTTTTTTGTTTTTTCCCCTTGAGACAGTCTCCCTCTGGCCCCCTGGGCAGAGTGCAGTGGCATCATTGTAGCTCACTGCAACCTCCAGTTGATGGGCTCTACTAAGTGATCCTTCTGCCTCAGCCTCTCAGGTAGCTGGGACTACACATGCACTGCAATGCCTGGCTGGGGTTATTTTTTTCTCTCTCTTTCTTTTTGGTAGAGACAGGGCCTCGCTCTTGCTCAGGCTAGTGTTGAACTCCTGAGCTCAAGCGATCCTCCTGCCTCGGCTTTCCAGAATGCTAGAATTACAGGCATGAGCCACCATGCCCAGCCACAATTCTTCTTTTTGGTGCTCAGGACTCTTTGCCCAGCATTTGGAACTCATGAGATTAGAAAGACAGTTTTGAATCTCTCCTTGGTAGAACAGTAGTCCAATATCACCATGCCAGCACTGGGAGCACTTCAGTTAGAAGCCAGCAGCCTGGTCTCTGTTGTATTAGAAAACTGCCACGTCCGGATGCCCTGACAGCCGGACAGGGAGGAGCTTGCTTGGTGAAAAAAAATGCCTTAACACTTGTACCCCCATAATACGCTAAAATAAATATACAAAAAAACCCCCAAAACGAACAAACAAAGAAACAAAAAGAAATAAAAGGTGAGAAAAGGAAATTACCTACAACCACTGAGAGAAAAAACGAACACATAAATGTGGGCATGCCCCTCAGGAAAAAAAAATTGCTGTTTCCACATAAAACCACACGTGGCGAGCAGAGATTGCGATCCATGCTTCTTAGAAGACAAGGTAAACATTCTCCATCAGATTAAGAAAGACCTATTTCCAAGCATGGGAGACTGGTTAATGGGGAGTGGGGAAATGTGCTTAGATCTGTTCTTTCCTACTTATTTATTCTCATCCTAATCTATGCTCCTGTCTCCCTTTTCAGATCTCCTGTTACTCGGCTACTAACCCATCTCTCTCTCTGCAACTACGGACTCAGCTTTTAATGTGTGAAACTTCTAGGGAAGTTCCAGACAGGGGCAATGAAGGAGCTCAGGAAATCTCACCCCCAAATATGACCCTTGACATAAAGAACATTTTGAATTAAAGGCTCTTGGACAGTAGCAGGCCCCTGGGAGAGGCTTTCCCTCTATCTGCACAAACCGGACCGACCTGATCAGATCAAAGGCGGCAGTTGGCTTCCCTTCCTCTCCCTGTTACCGCATAGATTTCAGGAAACAAGATCGAGAATGCAAGCAGACCTGGCCCAAGTCATTTTAAACACAACACCTGCCTTTAGGTTAACATAATTTGCAAAGAGAATCATTTACATGTTACCTGTCTCCCCCATCCATTTGTTCTCTCTAGTGCCATTTGTCACCGCTAAACAGAATGACTTGTACCCCACATTTTCCCCTCCCCTCCAAAAAGACAAGTATAAAAATATCTGAACACCATCGGGACAGTGAGGCTGGGGGTGCTGGGACGCCGTTGGGAAAGAGGTGAGCAGGTGTGAGCCTCGCCTGGTCTCACTGTGTCAGAGCTGGACATTCTCTGAGCAGCGGCTGCCGATCCCCTCCTCGCACAGTTGCAAAGACTGAGGCCATGGAGAAGGGGCCCAAGACCATCCAGCCCGTCTGCAGGGTCTTAGGACAGGGAGCCAGGGCTCCTGACTCCTGGCCCCGTGGTCCTTCCACTCTGCCTGGGTCTGCCTCTGGGGGTGACCCAGCTTGGGCTCTTAGGGAGCCCTCCTCCCATCTGAGGGTACATAGACCCCCCCACTCCCACCCAACTGTTAGCACTGAGCCAAGATGACCCGGGGGCAGGGCGGGGGACTAAGAAGCCTTCCTGTCCCGGACTCCTTTCTTCCCACATCATTCCTCCTCCTCCTTCCCTTTTCCCATTCTCCTCTGGCTCTGCAAGCCCATTCCTCTTACCAAGGGCATGTTACAGACTTGCCAAAATCTACACGCAGTAAAGGTACAAGTGGATACATGCCCTGGAGGGGCCCGGGGGTTGCAGGTGGAAGAGCTGGCTGTGAGCAGAGACTCTCCTCGAAGGTCTCTGCTTAACCTCTGTGCGCGTGTGAACTCTGAGCTCCACTCCGTGGTACAGAGCTGCTGTGAATGGTTGGGCAGGTTGTGCACTGCACACAGACATCCCACTTCCTGTCTGGAGCTCCTCTTGCCAAACCCTGTGCCCTGATGCGGGGCTGTTTCTACCCCAAGGGAGGGGTGCTTTCCTTCCCACTTTGCACACAAGGCCTCATGGGCCAGCAGTGGCTCTGCCTTGACGTGGCCATATTTGTTTTAACATTTTCAAAAACTTTTTTTTTTTTTCCTCTCCAATTCTTGCGTAAATTGATGCTGCTGCAGGAAGCTGGGCCATGTTCCTTAGGGTGCTTTGTGGGTCCAGATCGTAGCCTGAGAAGCTCAAAGTGACCCCAGATCACAGCCTCCTGCCTGGCGAATTAACACAGTGGGTTGGCTTTATCTATAAATTAAAATCTGGGCTTTTAAAACCCTTGCAGCAAATGCTGCTTCTAGAAGCTTCTTTGACACCAGCTGTACATGTGGTTACCTGACAACATCTTTTCTGGTTTCCACCTTGGTTTGGAATATGGTTTCACTACACGGAAAAAAAAAATGTTTAATTGTTTATGGAAGTATCACGTACATACAGTAGAGTGCATAAATTTAAAATGTATAGCTCGATGTATGTCTACATGTAATTACAGCAGCATAACCACCACTCAGATCAAGATATAGAACATCTCCAACATTCCGGAAGGCTTCTTCACGCCTCCTGCTGCTAGTCAATACCCTCCCCCAAAGAGAACTACTTTTCTCCATCACCGTAGATTAGTTTTGCCTGTTCTTGAACTTGATGTAAATGATTTCGCACAGTATTTAGTCTTTTCTGTCTGGATTCTTTTACTCATTGTTATTTCTGTGAGAGTCATTCCTGTTGTTGTAAGGAACTGTCATGTGTTCTTCTTCACTGCTATATACAGTATTTCATTCCATGCAGATACTACAAGTTATGTATCCACTTCTTTATTAATGGGAGTTTGGGTTGTTTCCAGTATGAAGTTATTATAAGTAAGTTGCTATGCCCCATTCTTCTGGGCTGCCTAGGAATGGAATTGCCAGGTCATAGGGAAAATATATGTTTTGCCCTGACTCTAATAGATACTGCCAAGCAGTTTTCCAATATGGTCCCACCAATTTACATTCTCATGAGCAGAGCCTGAGAGTCCTTGTTGCTCCACATCCTTGCCAACACTTGGTGTCATCAGACTTTATAACTTTAGCCATTTTCTGGTGGAAGTGTGGTGAGTCTCCTTGGGTTTTAATTTGCATTTGTCTGATGACTAAAAAAGGTGAGCATCTTTTCCTATGTTTATTGGCCATCTGGATACCTTTTTTTTTTTTTAATGCAGTGCCTGATCATTTTTGTTGTTGTTCATTAAAAAATTAGGAGGTTTGTTTTCTTCCCACGTTGATTTGTAGGTGTTCCTTATCAATTCTGGATGTGAGTTCTTTGTCAGATACATGGATCATGAATATCTTCTTTATATGGAAATTTAACTTGCTTATTTTTCAGCTCATTCCAAGACCACTCGTAAAGAACAGGCCTGGTCCTGTGCTGGGTGCTGGGGTACCGAATTGTGTACGATGTGGCCCTTGTTCTTGAGGAGAGGTCACTTCATTCTATTTCTTAGAATGAGCAAGAAGTAAAGGTGGTTGCTAAGGCACCAGCTGCCCTCATTAAGCCAACGTGATTACTTAACAAAAGTTTCCTCGAGACTTCCTTGAGAACTCAGTTGAGGTGAAAAGCAAAGTTTCCCTATGTTTGTTTTCTCAGCTGGGTTTTTCAATTCCTTGCAGTGAGTGCTGGTTCTGGAAGTTTCCTTGACTCCCTGAGCCCCACTGGCTGAATGTGTGCTCACCCGCTGGCCTCCCCCTTGGAGTCCACCCTGGTTTGGGGATGTTAGGTGGACCCACCAGGACGTGGTCAGATTCCCAGCCCAGGTTCCTGGTGCTCAGCAGGGGTGAGTCAGGGGCAGCCAGGGAGGGCAGGGGCATTGGCAGGGAGTGGGGTGGGGCCACTCCTGGTGCTCGGCAAAGCTGGGTCCAGTTTAGAAGTCCTCTGTCCTGGGCAAATCCCCAAACCAGGCAAAGCCAGACACCCTGCCTCTCACGTCTCGGGCTGCCAACCCTGAGGGGGACTTAGAAGGCTTGAGGAGGAGGGGATGGAGGCCAAAACACTGGCGTGAAGGGCATGAAAGCTGGGCCCAGGCCCCGGGAGAGGTCAACGGCCACTCAGTACACGGATGGTGGGGGCACCGTGGCAGGCTCGGGGACAGCATGTCCCGGAGTCTGAGACCAGGCTCAGAGGCGTGGTGCAGAGGGTGCTGGGCAGGGGGCGAGAGCCCTGGGTTCCAGCCGGGCCCTGTTTCTGGCTCGCCAGCTGCCAGCCAGGTCCCTTCTCAGGGCCTCCGTCCTCTGCTCTAGTGGACCACGTGTCATTTAAGGGCCCACCGGCTCTGATGTTGTCTGCAGCTTAGCTATTGTGTTTCCCCAAAAATAAGACCTACCCATAAAATAAGCCCTAGCAGAGCATTCTCAAAGCCCTTTCAAAGCATTTGCACAATAGAAGCCCTACTCAGACAGTAAGACCTAGTGATGGGCGTGGCTGCGCAGCGCATCTGCACAACCCGTGCATTTCCTCGCAAAGCAGTAAAGACAACGAGCAGCCCTTCTCATCTGCCCCATGAGAGCTCTATTGCTCAACATGAGAGATTGGGGCCAGTGGTTCTAAAGGAAATAGAGTCGCAAGAAATTCAGGATGGAATTCGGGGTTTGGAGAGTTAGGATGACGTTCCAGAGGAAGACGACTTAACTATATTTGAATCAATGTAGATTGTTGTACAGTACTTAAAAAAAATAACACATCCCCTGAAAATAAGCCCTAGGGTGTCTCCTTGAGGAAAAATAAATATAAGACCCTGTCTCATTTTTGGGGAAAGACGGTAGGAAGAAGGCAGCTGTGAGCACCTGGGGCAGCTGAGGCCCGGCCGTGGGAAGCCCGAGATGGTTGACAGGGGAAGCGAGGGCATCTTGACCCTGCACCTCGTCCCTTCTCACACAAAGCAGACCAGGCCACTGATCATAAACATCACCAGACGGACAAATGATACCCTAGAGCTAGGAACTCTGGAGCCTGTTTATTAGGGACCTAGAATCGTCTATGCACTGTGATGCGCATGTAATTTGAACATCTGCGTCTGCAATCAGGCCCCGCCACACACCCAGCCACAAACACAGTCCGAGAGACGACGGCACGGGCTGCGTGCCCAGCTTGGCAGCGGATGAGAGGGGCACAGTAACACAGCCGAGGGGACTCGCAGACACTCTCGCCCGCCCTTCCTTAGGGTAGGAGGATGGAGTGGGCTGGAGAGACATCAGCAGCACACCCAGAGCTTAGACCCCACTGTCCCCACAGACCAAACGGGTGGCTGTCCACTGAGAGAGAGACACTGGAAGACTGGGATCCGCCTATGAGGACCAGGCCCCTGGGAGGGTGGGAATGGGACCCCAGGCCCCAGAGGGTCCATGAGCACGGGAGGTTCAGGAGGGGCCAAGCCTGTGGGCCCCATACATCAAGCTACACCCCGTCCAGCCCATATAAGGCAGACAGGAACACTGCGCCCCCAGGAAGGGGCTGGGGACTTGTCCTGAGGTCCGGTGTGTCCTGGGACACGGGGTGTGGTGGTGCAGGAGGGGAGGGGCTGCAGGACTGGGTGGCCCACACTTTGGACCAGGACAGGGAAGGGGAGCAGACACAGGGGGGCAGCAGCCTGGCGCGTGGTGAGGGCCAGGAACACGGGCTTGGGGGTCGGGACGACTGTCCCGGTGCCTGTGGACCCTGGGGCAGCGCCTTGCAAGCTCTCCCTCCTCCGAGGAGCGTTTTGTTCACGCTCGTGGGACCCAGGGGACCAGTGAGCAAAGGGGGGCGCGTGCCCGGCAGCCGTGCTCAAGCGCGTGGAGCATCCTGGTCCTCCCTCCCTCTCTCGGGTGGGGGAGGCTCGGACTTCAGGGGGAAGC